ACCTCAATGGCATAAGCTGAAAATTGGCATAATGTAGCAATATGTTTATATATATCTCATTTCTAAATCTTTTACATCTGTAACCCAAAGAGATAAGGTGCTTGCCTTGCATTGCTACTGACTTTGGTTTGATTCCCAGAACTCCATGTGGTCGGTTGACTGAGTCCCACCAGAAATGATCCCTGAGCGCAGTCAGGAGTAAGCCCTGAGTACCACTAGGTATGGCCCCTTTACCAACCATCCCATTCTCAAAAGAAAAAAAAAACACCTTGAAAATGACATATTATGTATTTGTATACATAATAATACATAACACTTCCCAGTAGTGTCCAGCAGATGAAATTCACCCTTTTCCCTTCAGTCTTAAAAAATTCCTGAATGCTTTTCCCCATCTACCTCTTAAGAATTGTATTCCTTTATTCCTTTATTTTTCACTGTCTAAAAGTTCTTCTCTTTTTTTTTTTCTTTTTGATCATACCCAGCAGTGTTCTCTAGGGTTTATTCCTGGTTCTACTATTCAGGGATCCCTCCTGGCGGGGCGTGGATGCTTACTTAGGATGGAACTCGGGTTGACTGGGTGCAAGGCAGACACTGAACACTGTACAGTCTCTTCAGCCTGTTAACAAGTACTTAGTGTAATCAGGCTCAGTTTATTAAGTGCTTATTATCTACCTGATAGTTTTATTGGATTCCCCTTGAAAACACTATTTTATAACTAAAATTCATCCCTTATCTTTCATTAGTAGGCTTAGCAACTCATAATTTTTATACTTACTCATGTTATTCATCATTCTTCGATAATGCACTGGTTACTGTACTAACACTGGCTATAGAAGTGGTTAAACCTTCCATGTGTGTTCATTTAGATCTTTGTTTCAAAAGGCCATTTAAATAAAATAATTCAGCCCTACTCCATTCTACTTAGAGAAATTGGACAGTATGAAATAATAATTATGTCCATGACGCTGCAAATCTGATTTTTCTTTTTTCAGGTTCCACTCAGTTTCCTTATAACCCTCTGACTATGCGGATGCTCAGCAGCACGCCACCAACACCAATTGCATGTGCCCCCTCTTCTGGGAACCAAGCAGCTCCTCACCAACAGAACAGAATCTGGGAACGAGAGCCAGCCCCGCTGCTCTCCGCACAGTATGAGACGCTGTCGGACAGTGATGACTGAACTCCATAAAGAAGGGATTTGGTTCGGGCCAGTGTACTTGGGAGCTCTAGTTTTGTGGTTTTATCTTTAATGGCAGGTCAAACACCTGCCCTCCAATGACTTGCGCCCAGAGACTTTTCAGGAAAGCCTGGACCATGGATAAAGAAATAATGGAAATTTATTTGAAAAGTCTGATGGGGGAGGGGGGCTGCCTTTGATACAGGCAATTCAGTGGGTTATAATAGTGGAGGGTTACAATGTAGTTTTTAAAAAGTGGACAATTCCTGTTCTTACATCTGTTTGTAAAGAAAACCATAATGTCTTTAAATCACTCTTCTGTAAATAGATTATCTTTTTTGCAGTGTTTCCCCTTGCTGTAGTATCTGGTGTACTTAAGTTCAAATCAGCGCATCGACTTTGGGGGTAATTTAAAAAAAAAATCTTTCGTCTTATCTTTTTATTCCTTGACTTCTAACAGTCTCACACAGCCCAATTACAAAATGTTGGCTGTCAAGGGCATTGTACTTTTATCCAGATTTGTTTCCTAAATTCAGCTTCCCAGTAATGTTTAGAAACTTGTGGAAATGTTTAGATTTTTTTATCACAGACCCTGTCATAAAAAATGTACATTAATGTATTAGGGTCAAAAAGAGAAACAAAGTTCTGCCATATTGTAAGTTTCCAGTGCAGGCTTTAATTTTTTTTTAATTAACAGCATTGAGAAAGAAAATATTACTGCATGGGTATGTTATAGTTCAGTTTTTAAAGTTTTAAAGGCTTATTTGAGGCAGACCTCACTGTTATGCACACTGGTGATTTAACATTGCCCCTAAGTATTCTTTTTCTCCTGCATTGGATGCAGCCCAACAAAGCTTTTGTTTTGAAATAAATTTGACTACCCTTGTCCATAGATACAGTAATTATTTGTGGTTTAAAGCTCTTGGTGTTCAAGATTTCAAAGGAAAAACCTTTACTTTTATTTAGTTTGATACAGATTATTGGTTGAGCTAGAAAATGATATGTATAGAATCTCAGTCTTTTAGATTTGCTTTGTGCTGTATCCAGAATTCTATGGTGACATACAGTGCTTTCTATGCACCAGTACTTTCTTTCATTCCTTGTGGGCATGTTTATTTTTTGAATGTTTTCATTTTCCTTCAAGGAGCCAATGATTCCATGGAGCAAATAATTTAAAAAGAATTTTAAACTATAGTACTAGATAATTGATATTATTTAATAATTTCTGAATTTATATATGTACACACATATATATACACACACACACACATATTTTCTTAAATACAACTTTACTGTAGTGTTGAAGCATTCTACCATAATGTATAGATAACTAATATTTTTGGGAGGATGTTACATGTAACACATGTAAAAAATGGAGACCTCTCAGGAAGATAAAAATTAGCACTTTATAGACTCCTAGAGAGACTTCCCTTTTTTTTTACCTAAAACTTTTAAACAAGTTCAAGAATCTAAGAAACAACTTTGTAACTAATCAGTTCCTACTTTATACTACTTTGTATGCATGATCATGATCACCCACATCACCCTGTATAGTATTGGTGCTAATTTATATTTATCAATAAGAACACAAGTTCAGTACTCATTCTGCATAGTTCATGAGAAAGGTAGGCCATAGAGACCAGAGAGAGAGAGTGCAGTGGAAGATGGGTTCAGTCCCTAGTGCCACACTAGGATACTCCCTGAGCACTGCTGGGTGTTGCCCCAAAATAAAAAATATAGGCTATAAACCCATGTTTGACATTAAAATCATTATTCCTATTACATACTACTCTACTCATGTAGCCTTGTGGTCCCCCAAATAAACTTTAGATCAGTTAGAGGTCAAATTCTTAGAAAGTTGGTATTACTTCATTATACAAATATACACACTCAAGATTTTTATGTCAAGGAAAAGTATAAAAGAGTTGCTGTTTAACAATTTTCTGCTTGCTACAGATTTCTTTCACTTACTGGTAATATGTTAACTTTTAATGACCCAGTAGATTATGGCAGTATTTTTCTTACTTTGAGGGTATTAAGCTACTCTATCATAATGGGTTTTGTTTTAAGCCAGCCTAGCACAAACCCAGCACCCTGAGCCCTGTTCTTCCTCTTCCATTGAACATCCTAGCTTTTAGAAAATATGTCAGATAAGACATGCTCTAACTTGTTGCTTTTGCATTTCTCCTTGAAAATTCCAAGTGAACAGTTGTTAGCCACTTACCCCACCACCTGAAAGAGATTTCAATGTGCAAGGTGAAATCCAGTGTGATTTCTGGGTTCAGAATAATTCTCATGGGCCCAAGCAGGGCGCTGGACTTGCACACAACCAACCGGATTTGATCTCCAAGCCCCACATGATCCCTCAAGTCTGCCAGGAGTAAGCCAGATGTAATCCCGCCACCCCTCCCCCCAAAAAAACCCCACAAAAAAATAATAATGATGCTCACATGGCTTACTGTAGAACAAACTGTATGGGAGGGGCAGAGGTCTGAGGTCTGCAAGAAGAAGGCTGAAATAGCAAGCACAACAATGGGAATGGTAACTTTAAGTTAGCTATAAACTAAGGCATAAACTGCAGCTTGTATCAGTGCTCATAAAACTCTGCAAGCGTATTTCAGTGCTGTATCCTTGTGCTTGGTTTTTTTGAGTCTAGAACTAAAGATCTTCCTAATACTGTTTATAGAACTCTTCTGAAAGCCAAATTTTCAATGCTATGCTTCTGATTGGAAGTTTTATAATGATTTAATTTGGTTTCCTGAGTGATTTTTGTTTGTTTGTTTGGGGGGGGGGGAGCGCATATCTGGCAGCGCTTGGAGAATCGTGGTACCTGGGATTGAACCCAGGACTCCAGAACGCAAAGCATGTACTACAACCTTTTAAGGTATTTCTGTAGTCCTAAGGAATGCTATTTTAAAACACTAAACTGCATTTTTTAAACTACATTGATTTTAACTATTCATTTCTGAATTCAGACTTGTCAGTAAAGGGGATCAATCCTCCTTTTTGAAACTTTGTTCTACAACAATGCAACTTGAACATGGACCCACAGGAAGAGACTATTATTCTGAAAACTAGTTTTCTCAGTACCAGAACCATGAGCTGAATCATTGTGGAGACTCAGCAATTCTCAAACTTGGAGTAAGAAATCCTAACTTTCTATAATCCCTGCAATTTTGAAAAGGTAAACAGTGCAGAAGGTAAGTAGTTAACTATAATAACAATAATTTTTTAAAACAATATAAATTAAGACCAGGCTGCACTAAAACCGATTTACATTAGTTTCTGAGTTACAGCTGCATTTGTTAAATGGTAAATAACAGACAATCTTAGAAATAAAATGGGAAGAACTTTATATCTGCAACTATAAAATTATAGTTCTAGTCTAATCTGTCAGAATCTTAACTTTAGGTCTCTGGTAGTTTCTAATACCTCATATCTAATTTCTTGCTAATCCTTTAGTGAACTGAAGGGTTGTTTCATTTTGTTTGGAGTCACTCCCAGCAGTTCTCAGGAGACCATTCAGTGCTGTGGATTGAAATTAGCAGGCCTCCTACATGCAAAGCATGCATTCAGCCATTTGAGCTATCTTTCTTGCCCACTAAATTTTTTTTTCTTTGCTTTTTGGGTCACACCCGGCGATGCACAGGAGTTACTCCTGGTTCATGCACTCAGGAACTACTCCTGGCGGTGCTCGGGCAACCATATGGGGTGCTGGGAATCGAACCTAGGTCGGCTGCGTGCAAGGCAAATGCCCTACCCGCTGTGCTATTGCTCCAGTCCCTGCCCACTAAATTTTTAACGAATACACAAAGGTTACAAATACAGTGTTGTCAGATAGACTTGTTTATTAAAGAATTCCTCCAGTATGTACATCGGGACCATAAAGTATCTACATTTATACTTCCACCGCAAAGGCATATCAATAACAACATTTATATTTGATCAAATAAATTCATGGTTATGGGAAAACTTCCTTTCCCCAAGGCAAGTGACTCTGCTTGCCTTGAACAAGAACACCCATCTATATCTTGTATTTATACAGTCTCTTACAATGTAGTCTAATCATTTAAGGATCTCTTAAGTATCTTCTCCCACGGCTAATAGAAAATTTCACTGTTACCTGTTTAACAGATAAGGTGCCAAAGACCCAAATTCAGCAACACAGAACTTAGGATCCAGGTCTATGATTCTTCTACTATACCAGTGGTACATATCAGAATTTGCTAAAGAAAGCATTAAAATACTGCACTTGTAGGGTCTGACCCTAAATCAGAACGTTAAAGGTATAGGCCAGGCTGCATCTTTATGTATCTCTTTCCAAAGCTCCTTTGATGGCTCTGATATATGACCTACAGTGCAAAGGAAACTGCTCAAATAGTTCTGACAACAGAGATTACATCGTAACCTCCTCCTTTTCAAAGCTGTGGATAGACAGGTATATTCAAGAAGAGTTCACTTTTATTTATATCAAATGGGTGCTACATTTTTACGTATCTAATTTCCACTTTTAAACCAAATGCTGGATGCTAGTTGTATCATTTTTTCTCCTTTATACATTAAATCCCACATTGGGCTTCATAAAAAAATTATATAAAAATAACTCACCATAATCCCTTTGCTATGAGATACAAGATCTGGTCTGCCAGATATTGAAAATATAAGAAGAGAGGGCAGCAAATCAATGGACCAAAATCTCAAGGTATAAGAGCTACTTGGCTGAATTACCACATTTCCACTCTAGAGCCAAACTGACTCTCTGTCATCTGTAATTACCTTCTACCAGCTTCTAACCATGTTACAATTGAAAGCATCACTTGATACCTTTCCACAGACATCACAATCAATTGGAGGTGAACATTTTTTCTATTAAAAGAGAAGTGGTACTATATAAAACTTCTATCTTCACCAAGGCTAACCACAGAAACCAGAATTTATCATTCCTGTTTATACCTCCACTCCCAAAGGGCATATCGTTATGTTCTGTTCTAATATCTAAAACAATGTCTTTCCCCTAGACAAATGACTCTATAAACTGCTGAGGTAATAACATCCATCTGTGCACTTACACACATTGAGGCAGTGTGATTAAGTTAAGGAAACTTGAATGTCAAGGACAAAATATTAAAACCATTGATTTTTGATGCCACTGAGACTAGAATAATAGCAGTCACTTGAAATTCATTACAATAAATAAGAGATTTACAATTTAACAAAATTAGGTAGAAGTACTTTTTTTGGACAGTTCAGCCAGCTCTTCCCTGATGTGCTTTATGAAAGCATTATCTCTTTTCAGCTCTGCTTGCTTCAGTGCTTCCTGGTAGATTTCTTTTGCTTGTGCATATCGTTCTAAAATCCCAAAGGAAAAGGAAAAGAAGAAATTACGTTTTCAAACTAATTCTCTACCGGTCATGATATTGCTCTAATATATCATGTGCTTATTTAGTGGTCCTCTTCATTTCATTACAATTCATCAAACTGGCTTGAGTTATAAATAAAGCTCAACCCAACTGAGTACAGTGGTACTCCTTTCCAGCATGTAGCATGTCTGGGTATATATTCCACCACCAAGACTTCACTGATGGTGGAATGTGTAAGCAAATCTGTCATCTATAAACCATTCAGGTTTAGTTTATCAAACTAATAAGCCCTGTCTTACCAGCTTCATTCAAACACTGAAGAGTGAATTAATGGTGCATGCAAAAAAAAAAACTATCAATGCAAAATTTTCTCTAATTTAATATGGTTCAAGAAGCTAGTGTAGGGTTATACAAAGTATGTGAATTGATGATAGTGGTATGTCAAACAAATATACATCCTTATTCTGTGCTTATTCAGTCAGCCTTTTAATTCAGGAGTTTCCTCACTGCCACCTGCCCTTGTTCTCTACCTACCTCTGTGCATCAGAATTGCAGCCAGATTACTGAGCACCATGTGTAGCTCAGGATATTCTATTTGTCTTGCCAAATCAGAGGCCTTTTGCACATAAATACAGGCTTCATCAAAGCGGCCTTGTGCATCCAGAGTGGTAGCCAGGTCATTCAACAGCACGATGGTCTATATAGAAAAGAAAAGTTACAGCTTTTTCTTAAAACACACCACACCTATAAATAACATTAATTTGGAATCCAATAAACTCAATGTGCCTTCCCAGTGAGAGACATCAACCTTTGCCAAATCATGTGCATTTATCATTCATATTGTAGAGAATAGTTTAAACCTCTGAGAATCTAAAAACTAAGGTATAAAAAAAACCACAAAAATAAAAACTAAGGTATAGAAAGAGTAAATAGTATATTTGTTTTATTGCTTTTTTGTTTGTTCTGGTTTGGTTTGGAGGTCATACCAAGCATCGCTGGCGATCACTCTCAGCCATACGTAGGACCATGTGGTGCTGAGCAATGATTGAACCCCAGGCCTCCTGCATACAAAGCATGCATTAGCCCTTGCAGCACTCTCTCCAGCCAAAATGGAGGTGTGGGAGGAGAAGAGAAGGGAGAGAGGATGGGGAGACAGCAGTGTGTGTATCTCAGGGATTGAACCTAGGGCATCACCCAAGGAATAAATAGTTTTTACCTTTGCAACTTATTATCACATTAGAAGCACCAAACTGAAACAGGTAAAAAAATTGTAATATGATCCCACTTAAGGTTCAGCAATCATTAGATGCGAGTATTATACTCTATTTTATAGCTTGCCTTGCATGCAGCTGACCTGGATTCAATCGCCAGCACTACGTATGGTCATCCAAACTTCACCAGGAGGAGTGACCCCTGAGCACAGAGCCAGGAGTAAGCGCTGAGCACCACCAGGTGTGGCCCAATCCCCCCTCCCTCACCCTACCTACCCCTCCAAAGAGGAGGAAGAAATCTAGCACCTACTTTTTGGGAAATTTCCATTAAGATATTTTGAGGAACCAGGGAAATGGCTGAAATGGCTGGAGCACATGTTTAGATGCAGGAGACCCAGCCAGATTCAATCCCTAACACCACATGGTCTCCCAGAACATCAGGTATGGCTAAAAAATTTTTTTTAAAAATTTGATTGTTTTGATTCAGAGAAAAAGCCCTATACCTTCTTTCATAGCTACAAACCCATCCTTCTAAATCCTAATTCCTATCCTTGGTGATTTGAACTCCCTGTTGTCATCTTATTTCTCAATATTAGTGATATTATCATAATCCCTAATTCCCGTTTCAGACTATATTCATAGCCCAAATATCCCTTTCTCTAAGTCTACAACCACTTTTTATCTTTTCAGAACTTACAAATAAAGATTTATAAATTTAAAAACATCAAACTTTAATAGGAGCCAGAGCAACAGTACAATGGGTAGAGCGCGTGCCTTGCACACAGCCAACCTAGGTTCAATCCCCAGCATCCTTTATGGTCCCCCAAGCCCACCAGGAGTTATGTTTGAGTGCAGAGCCAGGAACAAGCCTGAGCGCTGCCATTGTGACCCAGAAAACAACCCCCCACCCTGTGATGTGGGTGTGTGATGGGTGCATTTAGTGGCAAGAGAGCCGCTTCCCAAGGCCTCCCTAGCTGAGGAACAAAGATGGAGGACCGCAGACTGATGGTCAAAATGACTCCTTTAATGCAGAGCTATTAGCATACTTACAGCACATGTGAGGGGGTTCAAGGTATAGCACTGTGCATAGGTGTGATTGATCAATTATAGGGGTAAAGCATTCTGGCAGAGAGAATTCTCTTGGGATTAACTCAAGGAGACTGTCTCCCAAGACATCTATGCTGCTTTTCTCTTTCCCTCAAATTGTGCACATTAAACAATTAAAGTTCACTTCTTATTAATATTTGCAGTTATTTTGGAGAAACACAGTAAGAGATAAAGATTTCAAAACTTAGTCCTTTGGGTTCTGAGGGCAAGCAAGACTTTTATTGAAAATCCCAGACTTAGTCCTAAGGCTTGTTCAGCTTGTCCTTCTCCATGGGGGTCCTGTCTCTTAAATCGTAACGGCTTGCATCAAGACCATGCTTTTATGCTTTCCAGACGGCCCCATTTCAATGCTGTGGTAGCTCTGCCACTGGCCCTGGGTCCATCCCATTCCCACAGTGGACCTCCCTTTGTGGGGTGTTAGCAACTATGGCAACTGAAGCCCGAGTCAAGTATGACAGATGCCCAGGAGAAGGTATATTTCAGAACCAGTCAACTCCTATATATTAGGAACATGGCATAAACAGTCTTTCTGTGTTTAAGCAAAGAATATTGCTCTATAGTAAAATATAAAAAGTTACAGGAGAAATAGAAAAGCAAGTAATTCACTACAAATACAAAGTCCAGAATCACAGAAGTTCTGATTTACAAGTAACTAAGACTGACTTGGGGAATGTAACAGTGACAGATAAAGCATAAAGGAAAGGTTAAGGATAAACTCAGGGGATATGGAGTACTTGTAAGAGCACTCCTTAAGTTTCTTTGGGAGAAGGAAAAGGGACAATTCACTGATGAAGCCTGAAACACTTAGGATTAATATCTAGCACCCCCCTCTAATAGACATTTTTAATAGATCATTTCAATTTTTTTGTGGGGGGAGGGGTTGGTCACGCCTGGCAATGCTCAGGGATCAATTCCGGCAGGGTTCAGGGGACCCTGTGGGGTGCCAGGGATTGAACCTGGGCCAACCACTTGAAAGGCAAGCATCTTACCAATTTCTCTGGCCCTCATTTCAGTTTTCAAAGCAACTTTAGTATGTTTAGTGTTCTCAGCATGGTATGCATAAATTATGTTAGAAGTTTTAACTTTTTTAATGCAGTTCAATCCTTCTTTTATGCCTCAATCTCCATTTCTACACACATTGGCATTTTACAATGAGAAAAGGAAGGAAAGGACCTTCATGTGTCAACCCATTCCTCACAGGATTTAATATTCCAAAATAGTATGCTGTGAACTAGGAAGCCACTGAAACACATAGGTACCAGATTAGATCTGCTGTTGCTCTGATGTGTAAACTTAAAACTCTTGCAAAATATTGTGTGCCGAGTAATTCACATTTTTTTTAAACAAGCAGTTAGGAGGTAGGGAATGGTGGTAAGAAAATAAAAGGACTGGGCTGGAGAACACACTTAAGACTATTTTATCATTTCCCAACGATTGGCATTTCATACCCGTAAATTTCTTATGCCTCTGTTTTATAGGCCGTAATGTTTTTCTCCCTTACCTGTGGGTGTTTTTCTCCTAGTATGTCTTCAGAAATCTGCAAAGCTTTTTCATACATCTTCTGTGCCTGTGAGGGCTGCTTGGACAGCAGAAGGTACCGAGCATAGGCATCTAAGCACATGCCAAGGAGAAGGTGCGTATTGATTTTCTCTTCCACTAAGCAGGAAATAAAAACAGTTCGGATATAAAAGCTACAATAAAGAGTATTAATGCAAAAAACCACAAATATTTTAATACTGTTTAATATCTCTAGAGAGTAGTCCTAAAATATTTTGAAGATATGAAGTTGTAGCCATGAAATACAATCTTGTAAAACAATGTTGCCTCAATAAAAATATTTAAAATACAGAGGTACTCCTAACCTCACTTTTTGTTATACAAAAGTGACAACTTAGGTGGAATAACATCCAGCAAAGGGCTGGGAGTATGGCACACAAGTAGGGTACCACTTGACCAAGATCTAAGTGAGCACGTCAGGTGTGACTCCCAACATTTAAAAAAAAAAAAGTAACTGGAATCTTGGAATATTTCCCCACTTTTTTGGGGGGATTGGGAGGTGTTAGGGACCATACCTGGTGATCCCAGGGGTTATTTCTGATCTGCACTCACGGATCATTCCAGGTGGTGCTTATAGCACCATACGGGATGCCAGGGATCGAACCTGGGTTGGCCACATGCAAGGCAAGCACCTTATCCATTGTAGCTCTCCTACCCCAATTTCCCCACATTTTAAGTAAGACTGAACCCATGCTTCAGTTAAAATGTGGAAAATTACTTTTGGTTTGAAACTAATATTTGAAGACTCAGGAATAAATTAAATAACAAAAAGTAAAACTATTTAAAAATACACTAAAGCGTTACAATGAGAAGTCAAAACACTCAGAATCCTGAAGTGAAAAGCTGTAAGCTGAATTTAATTTCAAATTTTTGAAGAAAAATAAGGCTCCAATAATTCTCAACACATTACAGACTTGACTGTACGGTCTGAAAGAACACAAACACTAAATACGTAATGCCATGTATAAAGAGAACACAGGAGAGAGGGCTCAGTGGGCACTGGACATGCTTTGTGTGGAAGCCCATTCCATCCCCAGCTCTGTGGAGACCCCCCAACTGCCTGCAATGAATAATCAATGACCTGGGAGCAACTCCTGATAGTAGCCCCCAAGATATGGCACAAAAGAAAGAAGAAAAAATAGGGAGGTGCTGGTAAATGTACACTGGTGGAGGGATGAGTGTTGAAACACTGTATGACTGAAACCTAATTATGAACAGCTTGCGATTCAATAGAAAAAAATTTTAAATTTTTTTAAAAAATTTAAAGATACAATATAGTGAGCCAGATTATAAGGAAATTTGCAAACAGTTTGCAAAAGTTTAGAAATTTGCAAAAGTCTGGTCAAGAATAAAATATTTTAGATAATCTCAAAACTATTAGATACCCAGCAAAGCTATCATTTCAGATACCTTCCATATCTTCAAAAGTTTCAGAAAACTTACAAATAGCATAACAATTTAAAAGGCTCTACTTACTGCTAAGTAATTATACGTTACCGTTAGTAAAGAGAATTTAAATAAAGCAGTATGGAGACCAGAGAAGCTAGGAAAAGGGCTAAGGCTTTTGCCTTGCATACATTGACCCCTGGTTCAGTCCCTGGTATCACCTGGTTCCTTGAGCATCTCTAGGTACAGCATGGAGGCTCCAAAATTCTCCTCAAAAATAAAGCAACATGGTTGCTTACTTTTAGAACAATTCTAGAAACGGTGTCAGAAAGTCAAAGAAAAAATTTTTAATTGGAAATTTGAAGTTAACTTTTGTTTACTTAAAATAAAAGTAAAACCATCTTCTTAAAATTACAAATAGTTTACAATTTTGGTTTCTTTTTTTTCCTTTCAGGGCTTACTCCTGGCTATATTCCTGGAGTGCTCAGAAGACCATAAGGGGTATTGGGGATTGTTCGAGGATGGATTGTACCAGAAAAGCAAGCGTTCTGACCACTACAAATTTCACTTATATCACTTAATCACTTAATCCCCGTTATTCATCGATTTATTCGAGCGGGTGCCAGTAACGTCTCCATTCATCCCGGTTGCGTGCTAGCGTAGCCCAATGGTATCTGTTCGTTTTAGGAACATGTAGAGCCTCAAACCGATCATTTAGGGTCTTGACGAAGAAGTCTGACCATCTTATAGGTGGGCGTCCACGTGATCTTTTGATGTCTCGTGGAATCCAATCAGTAATGGCTCTAGTCCAGCGGTTGTCTGTAAACCTCATTACATGTCCAGCCCATCTGATTTTTGATGTCTTGGCAAATGAGACAGCGTCTCTGATTCTTGAGCGTTGACGAAGATCAGAACTCCGGATTCTATCTCTCATTTGAGTGAATCGTGATATTCCAAGCATAGTTCTTTCGATTCCTCTTTGAGAGACCCGAATAGTGTTCTCATCCTGTTTTCGTAGGGTCCAGGTCTCTGAGGCATATGTTAATGCAGGAAGAATAGTGGAATCAAAGAGATGTGCTCGTAGTTGGAGGTTCTTTGTCCTTTTAGTTATTTCTTCAATGCTCTTGAAGGCATTCCAAGCCGCTCTCTTCCTCCTGCGTAACTCAGGTGCCAGGTCATTCATCATGTTGATTTCTCGACCTAAGTATATATAACTGTTGCATTCGGAGATGGTGGTTCCGTTGAGAGCGAATGGAGCGTCAGGAACAAGGCTGTTTCTCATAAACATTGTCTTCGTAAGATTCAGCTGTAGTCCAACCTTTCCACACTCACGGTCAAAGTCCGCAAGCATTTGTGCTGCTTGGCTGATGTTTGGTGTTATTAGAACGATGTCATCAGCAAAGCGGAGGTGGTGTAGTTGCCGACCATCTATCTTCACTCCCATGTTTTCCCATTCTAGTCGTCGCATGATGTTCTCGAGGGTGGCACTGAAGAGTTTTGGTGAAATGGTATCACCCTGCCGAACCCCTCTCTTGATATGGATGATTACTTCTTTGTAGAATGGTGAGATCTTGGTAGTGAATCCGCAATAGAGCTCACGAAGGATCCTGATGTATTGAGTTTGTACGCCCTGATTGGCTAGGGCTTCCATGACCGCTTCCGTCTCAAAAGAATCAAAGGCCTTCTTTAAATCAATGAACGTTAGACAGAGCGGCATCTTGAACTCCCGAGATACCTCAATGAGCTTGGTTATTGTGTGGATATGGTCGATGGTACTGAATCCTTTTCGGAATCCAGCTTGTTCACATGGTTGTCCTTCATCTAGTGTTCTGCTAATCCTATTCAGGATGACTCGAGTGAATAGTTTGTAGATGACAGACAATAGGCAGATTGGGCGATAGTTGCCAATGTCGTGGATGTCTCCTTTCTTGTATAGTAGTACAGTCTTGCTGGTTTTCCATTGGGATGGAACCTTGCATTCAGACAGGTAGCGTGTGAAGAGTCGAGCTAATGTATTGATGAGTACTGATGGTAAGTTCTTCAGGTGTTCAGGTCTGATCTTGTCTGGGCCAGGTGCTTTTTGTTTCTTTACCGACGAGATGGCATGTTGGATTTCGGAAGGGAGAACATTGGGAACGACATATCCATCATGTGGTATGTGGTATGTGGGCAAGTGGATGTGGCTATTAAAGAGATCTGAGTAGAAGTCATGAATAATCTTCTCCATTGCCCTTCTGGAAGATGTGATAGATCCATCATGATGTCGGAGGGCAGTCATCTTGGTTTTGTAGTTGGTGAAGGACAGGCGGGCATTACGAATGTTTTTCCCAGCTTCTGCTGCATCTACCAGTACTGCTGCTCTCCTGTTTTTGAGGTCATCCTTGATGGCTTTTCTGCACTGTTTTGCCAGTTCGGACGTTTGCTTGTGGTTGCCTGAGGCACGTGCCACGCCACGTTGGCGAATAAGTTCAAGAGTGTTCGAAGAAAGACGGTTTTTTGTGGTTATCTCTCTCTTGGCATTCCTTGCACAATCATGGAGGTGCTGAATCATTCGATCGTATTCCTCATCAATGTTGTCAATGACGGCATCTTCCCATGTTGCTGCAACAGAGCCAAAGAGTTCCCAGTTGGTGGTTGTTCTGGGAGTCTTCTTCTTAAACCTTGCATTCTTTTCTCCTCGTTCTGTGAGGTAGAATTTTGCACGAAGAAGACGGTGGTCTGATCCCGTTTGGAATTTTGGGACAACAGCAACATCGGTTAGGCAAAACCGCCGATTGAATATGATGTGGTCTATTTCATTGTGGAACCGTCCATCGGGAGACTCCCATGTCCAACGTTTAGATTCAGCCTTTTGGAATTGTGAGTTACCATGGAAGGTTTTGGTTGACATGATGAACTCAGACAGTCTGTCACCTTGTTCGTTCCATTCCAGGCCATGGGTTCCGATGTGGAGTTCATCGACTGATCTTCTTGGTCCTATCTTGGCATTAAAATCACCGACAATGATCTTGTAGAAGGTGTGATCTTCTTTATAGAATTTCTCCAGCTCCATGTAGAATTTCTCAGTTTCTTTTTCACCATAACTGGATGTTGGTGCGTAGACAACAAAGATAGAAACTGCCGGTAGTGAGCCACATTTATTCAAGTGTAATCGTCCGATTCGGGTTGTTAGGCATTCAAATGAATCAATGCTTGTGACTAAGTTTGTGTTGACAAGGATACCGACACCACCGACGCCTCTTTTATCACATGTTCCAAGGAACAGTTCTTCTCCAGTGTCGAAAACAGCATGATGGGATTGATGTCTTCTCGTTTCGGTCAGACCAATGATGTCGTACTTGATCTTTCGTGCTTGTACCATAAGGTCTTCAATGGATGCAGCAGATGCCAGCGTACGAGCATTAAAAGTACAGACAATCATTATAATCATACTACAAATTTGGTTTCTAAAAATATAAATTATTTTTATAAACTAGTGTAAGCTTATATAACCAATGTATCACTGTAGCACTGTCCTCCCATTGTTCATTGATTTGCTCAAGCGGGCACCAGTAATGTCTGCATTGTTTTTACTGTTTTTGGCATATCGAATATGTGATGGGGAGCTTGCCAGGCTCTGCCATGCAGGCAGGATAATCTCGGTAGCTTGCCAAGCTCTCTGAGAGGGACAGAGGAATTGAACCTGGGTCAGTCCCATGCAAGGCAAACACCCT